CGCAGATTCTTCACTTGCAGCTGTTGCTAACTCTACCCGATGGGAATGGAAATTAATACACATTTTAGAATTTCTGTAAGCAATCCCCAAACTCACTACCTGTCCCCCCCCCCATGCTAATCAGTAAGCTCTCCCCTGCCCCCACCCCCACCCCAGAGTTGATCCCAACCCTGGACCTTGTGCATGCTGTACCACCAGGTACATCCAGACCTTAGCCTTTTCTTTTTGTTGCAGGTTCTCTCAATTCTGCATTCTGCTCTGAAATACTGATGTGCAATTTAAGGGAACTATCAGATCTTCCACCCAACTACCTGAATATCGACCTTGAAGAAATTGTATCAGCCTGAAAATCCAGCAAATAGTACTAGCATTTAAGGCATCAGGCAAAACAATGAAGAGCTTGGGTGTGTGTTTATTTCTGAGTTTCTTAGGACACCACAGTGACAAAAGCCTGTGAAAGTGTAGGATAGGTCCCAGCCACGCATCCCCGTCTGGGGTTCTCCCAATCTCTGCCTTCCTCGAAGATTCAATATGCAAGAGAGAGGCTAGAGAGACAGAGTAAGAGGCAAGAACCTACTCGTGGCAATGAAATTAAAAAAGATGTAAGGAGCTGGAGATGTAGATCAGTTGGCAGGGTACTTTCCCAGCATGCACCAAGCCCAGGCTTTGATCACTAGCACACACAAAAAAGTGTTTGTTTTTTTTTAAATGAATGTCTGCCATCTGAGCACATAAGAGGTGAAAACAGGAGGATCAGAACTTCAAGGTTATCTCTTTTGTTTTGTTTTGTTTTTTGAGACAGGGTTTCTTTGTGCCTGTCCTGGAACTCACTCTGTAGTCCAGGCTGGCCTCGAACTCACAGAGATCCGCCTGCCTCTGCCTCCCAAATGTTGGGATTAAAAGGGTGGCGCCACCACCGCCTGGCCAAGGTTATCTTCTGCCACATAGCTACATAGTAAGTTTGAGGCCCACACAGACTACCTGAGACCCAATCCTAGAAGATAAAAATAAAGAGGGCTTCTGTGTGCTGTCGACATATCATTAGGATATTTCTCCTCCTCCTCCTCCTCCTCCTCCTTTTTTCCCCAACACAGGATTTCCTGGCTGGCCTGGAACTCTCTCTGTAGACCAAGCTGACCTTGAACTCTGAGATCCAGCTTTCCATTGTAATCCCCTGTGGTGGGCTGGGCTTTTTGGTGGTACAGGTGCCTTTAAGTCCCTGTCGCTGTAAGTAACTCCTTGCCCCGAGCTCCTATGAGTGACTCCAATAAACTCACTGGCGCACTAAACTGGACTTGGGCGGTACCATTCCTTTGGTCTGTTGTCTGTCTCTTAACTGGACGTGAGCAGACGAGATGTTTGCTCTCAGACTAGATGTTTGTTCTCATTTTTCAGGAATCATGTCAAACACACGTACACACACACCACCACCACCACCACCACGGCCGCCACCACCTGTAGACTGAAGGCCCAGAAGCTCAAGGCCACCCTTGACTACAGAGAGTTAGAGGGCAAAACAACAGCAACCACACAAAAAGAAGGCTGGAGAGCTAACTCAGTTGCGCAGCACTTGCTTAGCGTGTACAAGCTCTAGGTTTGATCCTCAGCATTGGGGACTGGTTCTAAGTGGATCCGCAGTCTTACTTGAGAGGGCCAGGCAAATATCACGACCCGTCCCTAATAACTCAGTTAAGAACTAGGACTCAGTTCCTGCACCTACTAGGCCTGGGCCAAACCCCTCCTCCACCCACAGGTAATAACCAAATAAGGACAAAACCTGGGACTTGTCCACGCCTGTCCCCAAATGGAACAGTCAGCGATAGCCCTAATCAACCCCTCACCAGCTCTAGCCAATTGGAATGTACTAATATGATTGCCACTTGCTTAAGCCAATCTTATCAAATGACCTAGCCACCCTAAGAACTCCCCTTAGCTGCGCTTAAAAGGAGCGCGCATGTCCCTCTCAAAGTCCTTGCCATTTTGTACAGGTGAGTGACCCCACATGCACGTGGTATAATAAATGTTTTGGGACTTCTCACGGACCCTAACATTACTCTTGATTTTAGGCAAAATGCTAAGGAACCAATCGAATCCAGATTTGTGTGGAAAGAAAGAGAAAGCTGGAAAGTGGTAGTCTTACCGGGATGGTGACAGCCGTCTACGGAAGGAACCACAAATGCCTACCACTAGCTTGACCGCTCACGTTGGCCTGGAGGCCACAGCAATGTAAGCATGTGCTCAGCTGAACGCTTACCATATGGACATAGTCTAGAAAATGGGTCAACCAGAAGCACCCGAGAAACTGACCTGTGTTGCGGGAGATTTGTTGAACCAGGCAAAGTTGTGTTAACATTTGTCCAGGCTGCATTGGTTAACTATGTAAAGATGTGTTGCATTTAACCCGGGCTCAGAGAGGCGGGGTTAGCAACTGGTTGACCGGAAGCAGCAAGGAGGAGCCTAGTGTGTTTTTTTTTTTTTGTTGTTGTTGTTGTTAGTTGGGAAGGTGTGGAAGCGAGTGGTTTCCAGAAAGCCCGCAAAGAGAGAAAGGTAGCAGTTGTCCTTCTAATTCCCTGATCTCGCAGGTTCTCGCTCCAGCCTGTGAATCTTGAGCTGTATTAGAACGGTCGAGATTCAGTTACAACTGCCTTGACCGGCAGCAACAGAGCCGCTGTCCGGAGGAACAGAATTCTTCTTAGTGGCTGGGCTGCTCGTAGTTTAAAGGGCAGCCACTGTGACGGAGGTAAAACAACAGACGTGCTCTGGGGACGGGGTAGGGGTGGGGGTGAGAATCAAGGTGGACATTTAGAACTTGGAAGACTTGCTGTCCCCATCCCCCATCCCCATTTGGAGTTTCTATAATTATTTCCCTTTTTGCTAGAGCTTGGTATTCGTACATTTCTTTAAGCGCGAAGAGATGGCTTCTTCTTTTATCTCTTTGCTGGTGCCTGGGTGATCACTTGCTAAATATATTTCACCGTTTTATTTCCTTCAGGCTGAAGCCCCGGCTCCATTATGTTGGCTCCTCCACACCCAACCCCAAGCTGCACATTTCAGAGAGAAATCACTGTAATTATTTATTCTCTTGAAAAGGAGCAGGAGGTATGCATGTCGAACTAATGTGCACCTTTAACCCACTCGAATGACACTTTGGAGAATGGTTGCTGCGAACCCCTAACTCTGGCTTCATATTTCCAGATTCTCCCAGTTGTGGGAGATAATTGAGGCTCGTGGACTTCGTTGGGGAACTTTTATTTATCTTTCAGGGAGTCCCACCCCTAGCTATATAATTTTAAAGATTTATATTGAATTTCAACTGTCAATTCTGAGGACTGGTTAATTTTTCAAGGCTCTCGAAAATGAACAGAAAACGAGAGTTTTGAATTCATAGAACTTTCTGAGATCCGGTTATGGAAGTTTTTATTATATTGCTTTGATTTCTTTTTTAGAAGGCTTATTTTTTTTTTCTGTTTAGCAATTTCCTTAATCATAACTACAAACACTAATCCTCTTCCTTTCCCTTTACTGAAAAAGAAAAGTGTGTGTGTATGTGTGTGTGTGTGTGTGTGTGTGTGTGCTCGCGCGCGCGCGCGCAAAATTTGTTCCCTAGTCTAGTAGGAGGCAGAAAGAAAAGGTTTCTGAATTTTACCCAAGTCAGGTAGATGGACTTTTTAAAAAAATGGGTCACATAAGGAGCTTGAGCTGACTTTGTAGACAGAATGGGCAGAAACCCAAGCGCTGTTTTCATTCAGGGAGTGCAGCAGCCTGGGTGGTGAGGTGGAACACAGCCCTCATCTCCTCCACACTTGCCAAGTCCAGCTTCAGAGTAACATTTGTTTCTCTGTTGCAGAAATGTCTTGTTCCATTGTTGGGGAACACCTCACAGGCCCTTGGGGGAAAGTCTTGGCTGGTCAGCATAGTTCATGCTAATCTTCTCTGCTGTGGCTCTCTTAATTATAACTGCTTTCCAAAGTCGATCTACTATTTGCTCTCTATGTAAGAAAAATTTGGTGGAATGTGCTAGGGTCTCACTTTCTTTTTTGACTCTTATTTTTGTATTTGTGTGTGTGTGTGTGTGTGTGTGTGTGTGTGTGTGTGTGCCTGCAGAGGCCAGAAGAGGGTCACAGATACCTTGGAACTGCACATATAGGTGGATTTGAGCTGTCACATGGAGGGGGCTGTGAACTGAACTCAGATCCTTTGAAGAGCAGCAAAGGTTCTTAACCACGGAGCCATCTCTCTGGCCCCTTAAATCATTGTTTTATAACCAGTTTTCAGATGACCAAAACTAATTATAAACAAAAGACAAGAAAATAATTTTCAAAATTCTAATTCTCTGAAAGGTCGTTTTTCATTGCTAATTTCTAGAATAATCTGTTTCATTGATGTTTGGTTGTAGCCTCGGGCTCTCCTCTGCACAGTCTGGAAAGCCTCCCCCCCAAAAAAAACACCCCCTGGCTCAGAAAGTCTCTGAATAAAGGAAAGGCACCAAAAATCCCAGTTCTGCATGCTTAGCGGCCATTGGAACTTCCTCCCCTGAAGTCGCCAGCTACTTAAGTTCCCACCCAAGTGCTCAGTTTTTGACCATACTTGGGCACAAACCCAGCTTGTGGCAGACACATCATCACCCTTCACCTGCAACTTAAAAAATCTCCCTGCTTTAGTTTGGGGGGCACAACTTCTCTGGCCTCCATCTCTGGGACTGGAGAATCCACCCAGGGGTTACTTTGCTCAATATACCTGTTGTTAATTCTTTTTCAGTTCTGCTTGATCTGGCTTACTGCATCATCAGAGAAACTTATGGGTGTGTGTGTGTGTGTGTGTGTGTGTAAACCTATTAATCAAATGTGTGTGAATTTTCAAACTTTTCTAGTATCAAATTTAATAAGGATGTTAAACTTATTTATGCATGTAAGTTCAAATTTTCAAAAATTTGTCATTTCTTTCTCCTCTTCCTCTCCTTTTTCTGTGTTTTTGTTGTTCTTGTTGTTTGGTTGGTTGGTTTTTTTTTGTCTTTTGGAGACAGGATCTCATGTAGCCCAGGTTGGCCTGGATCTCCCTATGTAGCTGAGGCCAGCCTTGAATTTTTGATCTTCCAGTTTCTACCTCGCAGATGCTAGCTAGGGTTACATGCTTGTACCACCACACCTGGCTCAATTCATTGCTTTAGAAAATATACAAGATTGTTTTAACTAAATTCTACTTTTGTTTTAGATAATTTTTAAATTGAAAATGAACATTTAAAGTTAACTGAACTAGAAAACATTCCTGTAACAGCTAATAAATGTATTTGTTGGGCTGGAGAGATGGTTCGGTGGTTAGCTCAGTGGTCAAGATCACATACTGCTCTTCCAAAGCACCCAAGCCAGGGAGCCCACAACTACCTGTGACTCCAGGTCCAGGGGATTTGATGTCTCTAGGCACCTGCATTTATACATACACACACACACACACACACACACACACACACACACGATTAAAAATAAAACAAACCTCGGTCTGGAGAGATGGTTCAGGGGTTGGGAGAACTTACTGATTTTACAGAGGACTCAAGGTTTGACTTGTGGGACCCACAGGGTGGGTCAGAAGCATCCATAACTCCAGTTCCAGGAGATCCAATGCCCTCTTCTGACCAGGCGTATACACAGTACACACACATACATGCAGACAGACCATTCCCATGCATAAAATAAATACCAAACAAATAAAATACTTTTGCAATATTTTCATTCTTTTTAAGTTTTTCACACAATGTATTTTCAACACCCTCACCTCCCCAACTCCTCTCATTTCCACTCTCCCATCCCTCCCCTTCCCACTTTGAGATTCCTTCTTTTTCTTTCCTTCACTTTCCAGTCCAGTTTGTGTTGCCCAGCTAGTGTGGAAGGTGGGGTCTGCCTACCAGGGCTCACATCATTAAAGAAAACTGACTTCCCCTCTCTCAGCAGCTATCAAATGCCAGCCGCTCCTCAGATGGGGGGAGATTTCATGCCCATCTTCCTTCCTCGGTGCTGGGATTTTTGTCTGGCTGGAGCTTGCACAGGTCAAAATAAATCTTTAAAGCAATAAATATATGCATCAGTTAAAAAGCAAAAACAACAACAACAACAAAAACCAACCTCCTGAGTGCTGGGATTACAGATGTGCACCACCAAGTTGGGTTTTCACACTTCAACATTTAAAAAAGAGACTTTCTAGGTGATTATAACTTGCATCTGTTGAACAATATTTAAAAAAAAAAATGATGCCAGGCAGTGGTGGTTCAAACCTTTAGTCCCAGCACTTGGGAGGCAGAGGCAGGTGGATCTCTGTGAGTTTGAGACCAGCCTGGTCTACCAAGTAAGTTCTAGGACAGCCAAGACTACACTGGGGGGGGGGGGGAGGAGGCATTTGGTCCATTTTCTGAGGGAGGATGGTTTTAAAATACTTAAACTTTCCCCCAGAGATAGAGATGTTCTTATTGTTTGTGATGGGCCTTTGAACTTCATCTGAGTGCATGCTGGGTGTGCTGGGAAGCCTGACCATAGGATTAGAGGTATCTTGAGCTATAGAGATGCTGACTCAAAATGACCCAACATCCAGGGTGAGGAAGGTGCTGGTGACTGAGTTCAGTCATAAGGCAGTGGGTCAATCAGTCATGTGTATGTAATGAAAGTCCATGGAGAACTCTGGACACTGCCACTTGAGGCATGGACTCAGAGGTTTTCCCGGTTGGGGCATATACTGCCATGCTGACATGTGTAAGGAGGGAGAATTTTCTCCATTGTTAAGATTACTGACTTCACTTTGCTGTAACAAAATAGCTGAGAACATTAGCACATGGAGGAAAACTTTGATTTTGGCCCAGGATTCCAGAGTTTTCAGCCCATGTGTAGCTAGCTGGCCTATCTGGCAAGAATGAATGTATTCTCAAGAGACACTTGTACTCCTATCTTTGGCTATCAGACTATTAAAAGAATGGACCAGAAGAAATTAGACTTTTCCCTGGGACCCTGCTGGGAGAGGAAGCACCTGGGTGTCCAGAGAAGGAACTTGTGTCCTGGAGAAAGTTGCAGCTTCTCAGGTGACCTTGCAGGAGAGACTTGGAGCTGAGACACTGGTGGGCAAGGGACCACACTAAGTCATACTGTTCAGTAACACAGAGCTCTTTCTTTCTATCTAAACCCTACCCTTAGCTGGGTGAGGTGGTGGCGCACGCCTTTAACCCTACCACTTAGGAGGCAGAGGAAGGCAGATCTCTGTGAGTTTGAAGTCAGCTTGGTCTATATAGCAAGTTCCAGACCAGCCAGAGCTACATAGTAAGACTCTGTCTCAAAATAAAATAAACCCTACCAAGTCAGGATCTCAGAAGAGGGACTTGGGGTCGGTGCTAGATCTTCCTAATATGACCACATTAAATAAATCTCCTTTTCCTGTTTTGCACTATTAATTTGTTTTTTTTTTAATTGGCTTATTGAAGACTGGTGTCCAAACCAGGCTTATTGGGGCACAGAATATGATATTTAAGTCCAGGAATTTATGGTTTCATCTTGTTGCTTGGGATCAGACAGAACATCATGGGGTAGGTAGCATTGGCAGGAGAAACCATTTGCCTTGTAGCAGCCAGCTGGGAAGCAAAGAGAGAAGGGAACAGAGTTGGAAATTCCCTTCATTGGCATGTCCCCAATGACCTAACTTCCTCCCACTAGGGCCCCACCCCCTAAAGTTTCTCTCCCTCTCCAACATCACCATAAACTGGAGATCCAACTTTTAGCCTCTGGACCTTTGGGGGACATTGAAGATCCAGACTATAACAGGAACCTTTCTAGACATTACATTATATGCCTCTCTAGCTGGCCAGTGCCCACTAGTGTCCCTTACTGTTGGGAAATATTATTTTAAGGTGTGTTACTTTTGTTTATGTTGCCCTTGTTAACTCTGTGAAGCTGTGATACTTTGCCTGCCTAAAACACCTGGTGGTATAATAAAGAGCTGAATGGCCAATAGGGAGGCAGAAGAAAGGAAAGGAGGGGCTGGCAGGCAGAGAGAATTAATAGAAGGAGAAATCTGGGAGAGGGGAAGAAGGAAGGAGCCAGAGAAGGAGGAGGGCACCAGGGGCCAGCCACCCAGCCACACAGCCAGCCACGGAGTAAGAGTGAAAGTAAGATACACAGCAGTAAGAGAGGGGAAAAGTCCAGAGGCAAAAGGTAGACAGGATAATTTAAAGTTAAGAAAACCTGGCTAGAAAAAAGCCAAGCTAAGGCCAGACATTTATAATTAAAAATAAGCCACTGTGTGCCATTTATTTGGGAGCTGGGTGGCGGCCCCCTAAAAGAGTAAAAAACAACAACACTTTATGGTAACACTGAAATTACAAATACAATCCTTCCATGAATCTTGCAAGACATTCAGGCAAATTCTTGAGCTTCATAAAAGTAGCTAGAGTCCCCAAATTTGTAGCCAGATGGTCAGGAGTGCAGGTGGCCTGGAGATTCTTCAACTTGTAGCTGGCATCTGAAGTGAGAACTGTGTTGTTGAGACTGTTTCTTAAATCTGTGGAGTCTAAAGTCCCCTGCAGGTGGCTAGCATCAGAGCTGAATTGCAATGTCGCAGCCATCAAGTGTGAGAACCACTGTTCTGGAATCAAGTGGTTGAGAGCATCAGGAGAGTGCCTGTGCCAGATACTTTTATGTCAGCTTGACACAGGCTAAAGTCATCTGAGAGCGGGGAGTCTCAATTAAAAAAAAAAAAAAAAAAAAAAAAACAGTCTCCATATGATCAGGCTGCAGGCAAGCCTGTAGGGCATTTTCTTAATTAACAATTGATGGGGGAGGGCCCAGCCCATTGTGGGTGGGGCGATCCCCGGGTAGGTGGTCCTGGATTCTATAAGCAGGTTGAGTAAGCCATGGGGAGCAAGCCAGTAAGCAGCACCCTCCATGGCCTCTGGATCAGCTCCTGCCTCCAGGTCCCTGCCCTATCAGAGTTCCTGTCTGGACTTCCTGTGATGATGCACAGTGCTGTGGAACTGTAAGCCAAATAAACCTTCCCTTCCCAAGTTGCTTTGGTAATGGTCTTTGATCACAGCAATGATAACACTTACCAGCACAATGCCAGAATCAATAGTTCCATCAAAGTCAGGGCAGGGATCTTATCAGGATCCACCTAGAACCAGGGAATTAAGAAAGGCGATGGGGAGCAGGCAGAAATGAAGCCGGGGCCTTGGTGTCCAAATACTGTCTGAGAACAAGAAGATAAAGATCAGTGTGTATATTGTGGGACAGTATTGCTCATATTTAAATAAATATGCTCCACTGTAGGCTTGGGTAGAGAGCCACCAGCCAATGCCATCACCAAATCACTAGAAGGCAGTCTCCTGGCAACCAGCCAGAGTGGAATGGAGTCAGTTGGTACTACAATTATCACTGCTATATCTGGATGGATCTAAGGCCGGAAATTTTGGACAAAAGGTAAAGAACTTAAATTCCCCCTGTGGATCACTTCTTAAATAAAATATGCTAGACTTGCAATAATCAAAATAGGTTTCGGTACTTTAGATTTCTTGATAATGAAATATGAATGAGAAACACTTTTCAACACTAGATTGTCCACAAAAGAGTAAGCAGACTGGCTGGCTTCCAAGTAGTTTCCCAAGTTGATGCTGCTCAACTCCCTCAGTCCACTGTCTTTTCTAGTTCCCAGGTACATAAAAACCAACTTGCTACTGTTTTAGAATTCAGCTTAAGTAAACCTTAGGGCTCTGTAGTATATAAACCAGAGTGTGTGTTTATTTACATGTAGTATTCTGGGACTGAAGAGATGGCGCAGTGATGGATAGCACTTGTTGCTACTGAAGAGGACGTGGGTTCAATGCCCAGGACTCACGACCATCTGTGCATCTGTGACTCTAGTTCCTGGTGCTCGAATGCCGCCTTCTCACCTCTGTGGACACAAGTCATGCCAGTGATACACATACATCCATGAAGGCAAAACAGTTAGAAACACAAAATAAAAAATTTAAAAATCTAATACATTTATACACAAACACACACACACACACACACACACACACACACACACCACTCAGATTGGATTGTAGTATAGTAGTATATTGTATAGTAGTATAGTGAATGATTCATTGGTTAAAAGTGTTTGCTGCTCGGCCATGAAGACCAGAGTTCAGGTCCAGGCATCCACAAAACAAGCTTATAACTCCAACTCTGAGAAGGGAAGAGTCAGGGGGAATCTATGATACTTCTTGACTTCAAGGCTAGCTAAGAAAATAGGACCCGATCTGAAAGGAACAGGGGGAAATGATAGAGGAGGCCACCCAACATCCTCTTCTGGCCTCCACATATAGGGCACTCACATGCATATACACTCCTACAGACATGTACATCGATCTATGCTTGACATTCAAAGAATAATTTTTTTTTTCTTGAAGACACCTCCTCATGTAACCTGGGCACCTTTGAACTTGCTGTGTATTCAGGATGACCTTGAATTTCTGATCCTCCTGTCTCTAAATCCTAAGTGCTGGGATTAAAGGCATTACTACCAGTTTATGCCCAGACTCTATATCTTTACCTATTGATCTCTGTTTTAATGAAGACAGATCAGATCATAGACAGAGATTTTGTTGCATAACACCTGGTTAGTACCTGGTACTATTGTTTTGTTTATGTTTACATTTGGTCATTAATCTCTGGTTTTTATTTATAATAGTGATTTAAGGTTTCACTTGAAAGTAAGCTTACTTGGAAATAAGGAAGACTATCAGGGCAGTGGTGGCGGCGCATGCCTTCAATCCCAGAACTTGGGAGGCAGTGGCAGGTGGATCTCTGAGTTTGAGGCCAGCTTGGTCTACAAAGAGAGTTTTAGGACAGTCAGGGGTGTTACACAGAGAAACCCTCTCTTAAAAGAAAACAAAAAAAAAAGAGAGAAAGAAAAAAAGAAGGAAAGGGATAAAGAAAGAAGGAAAACTGATGCAAATAAATATTGATAAAAAGACCAGTACAACTTGTATCTTTATCATACAGCAAAAAAATTGAAGATTATATTCAAATAACTGCATGAGTCGATGTAGATGTGGCTTAGTGATAGACCTCTTCCCTAGCATTCATGAGGCCATGTCTTTATTCTCTATCACTGAAAGAAAAAGAAAAGTGGAAGAAATTAGTTGGACTATTTAATGACTCAGGGGTAGAAGGTTTGTGAGCATGCCTAAGGACCTGTGTTCCAGCATGGCAAAGAGAGAACACACACACACACACACACACACACACACACACACACACACACACACACCCTGTTAATTGAATCGTTTGGATCCATTCTACCTCTGATGAGTCATTTAAAACCCTTTGAGACACAGAAAATGTAGTATCAATGCAGGTCATCACATTTTCAGACAGACTAAACTGTTAAAAATGTCAACATCTTGCCTTAAAATCTGTTTCCAGAACCTTCCTATCATGGATTCTAGTTTATCTCCATGGAACCAGACATCATTCTCTCAAAGTTTCCTTGCTGTTTGAAGAAATTTCTCCTTTAGTAAGGACCCTGACCCTTTAATGTCCTACCTCTCTGGGTACAAGTGTCCCCAGGACTGTTCTTCAAGCTGAATCCCTTTAAGGCTCCTCTTCATTACAATCCTGCCCACGCTCACCACTCCAGACTTTTCTGTTTTGTTAGAGCTCCTCATAAACTATGTGAATTAGTTGAAGTCCAGGCTAAGCTTAGCCTGGCCAGTTAAAAATTTCAGCGGGAGATCCAGTTAAGACATGGTTTGATATTGAGGTTCACAGAGATCCCAGGCCTCAGGGGTTGCTGTCTCTCTCTCTCTCATTCCCCAACTCCATTTTCTTGCAGGAAGGGTTTGTATCCCAGGCAGGCTTTTCCCTCAGGACAGCAAGACAATGTGAGAAGTCTAGTCTTATACCACACACTTCAGTCTAGCAGAAAACAGAGGGAACCGTTCAAAAAATCCTAGAAAAAGTGTCTGTCACCAAAGGAGGTTGACCTGCCCACTGGCCAAGAGCCAGGAGTAAAGTCCCAGAAGGACAAAGACTTGAGTAGGAAGAGCTGGTGTCCAGAAGGAACGTGGGTTGGAAAATGTCACGTGGTGATGTCCAGACATGATCTTAGTACCTCAGTTGAGCTGTGACCAGGGACACAGATGTACAGTCACCTTCCTTGTTATGACCTTCATTACTGAACATGGAGTGGAGGGAGAGAGGGAAGGAGGGAGGGAGGGAGCGCTCTTCATTCTGAAGCTGTTACTTCCTAGACTCCCCTCTGCTGGGAGCTGATGTGTGGTGGAGATGTAGGGAGACTGACACCCAGATAAAACATTGTTCTTCAATTTCCAGACCATAGCATATAGTGCGGAGGGGGAAGAGGAGGAGGAGGACAAAGGGGAGAGGAGGAGGAGGAGGAGGAGGAGGAGGAATCCTTGTGCTAGTATGAGACAGAAAGCACGACCCGAGATGGAAGTTGGCAGCAAGACAGGAGAAAAGAGGTAACTATAATTCAAAATGCAGAGCAGACGTGTCAAAAGACATGAACAAAGTTCCCAATTTCAAACCTAATATAGAACTACAGCAATCAAGACAGTGGGGAATTGATATGAGAAGACATATAAATCAATGGGAAAACATCCAGAGCCCAGAAATAAACAGTGTATTTACGGCCAATTGATTTTTGAAAAGGGGGCCAAGGTAATTCAATGTGAATTGCCTTTGTAACAAATAGTGATAGAACAATTAGAGACCCACATGTAGAAATAGGACTTCGCATCCTCCCCTCATCCCACACACAGAAATTAAGACAAAGGACAGAGGAGGACATAAAACATGACCCATGAAGGCGTAAATTAGACCCCAGCAAAATTGCTTGTCATGGGCTAGGTATGTAGATCAGTGGGCAGAGTCTTTGCCTCAAATGAAAAAAAAAAAAATCTCTGGGTTTGATTCCCCACTGTGCCATTAACTATGTATAGTAATGCATGCCCATAATCTCGGTGCTGGAGAGGTGGAGGCAGGAGGATCAGAAGTTCAAGGTTAGCCTCAGCTACACATTTGATTTATCTCAAAAAAAACAACAGCAGCGACAAAAAAAAAAATTGCCTTTAGAACTTCAAAAGACAACCACAGAGGTGGAAAAAAAAAAAACAACCAAAA